TCTTAATCTTTATTTTTTTTCTTTTTTACTAATGTTGCAGGATTCTAATTTGTGCCACATCATCTCTGACAATGAGAATCCTGTTGGTGGCTCCCACAAGTAGATTTCTCTGGACGAAGTGAAAGAAGTGATGCTCTGACTTTTCATAGGGTGAATTTGAAAATAATAGACAAAATCCTGCCAGGAAAGAAAGTTCCTACCTTAAAGCTTTCCAAGAAATGAAGTAGCATTTTCCCCTGAAGCCTTCACTAATTCATAGGTTTTCTCCTTTGAGGGCATAACAACGAGTCTAAAGATATGAAAGGGTTAAATCACTTTGATTGTGCTTCGCGTCTTTCCTGGAAGGAAGTAGGAGAATTAACTTTTATTATGTGGAATTTGGCTTAATAGCACTTCACTGCTGGATCTACAGTGCTGTATCCTCAGAGGTCTTATAAATATTACTACTTGAAAGAAGGTAAAAGAACTGAGAATACTTAGCTTGGAAAAGAGAAGTCCCTCCACCTCACCCCTCCATCTCCATCTCTCTCTCTCTCTCTCTCTTTCCAGTTGTCAAAAAGTTAAAGGGCTATAATTTGGAAGGATAGGCATTAAATTTATTCTGTGTGGTCCATGAAGCACAATTCAGACCCATAGATGTAGGCTACAGGCAAGTCTCTTTCTACTCAAACAACAATAGATCTTTCCAGAAATGGAATGAGCAGTGAGTTCGTTCCTTGGAGGTGTTCAAGAAGACAGATATGCATTGAGACCATTATGGAAGATGTTCATGGACCAAGTTGAACTTGACGATGCCTTCTGAAATTCCTCTTGGACCCTTGGGTATTTTAGGCACATCAGCAAGTTTGTACCGGGCGACCACAGCCGGAAGCCGGGATGTGCGGGTTTCTGTAAGTAAGGGCCACCATGCTGGCTGCCTGTTGCCAGGTCATACTCTTAGAACAGCCAGGTAGGTGTCACTGAGATCCTAAATATAGCTTTTGGAAATGAGATTACAAGAAACTGTCGCAAAGTTGGGTCCTCCAAAGGTGGCTTCAGTTTTTGGAAATAGCCAAGTCTGGTCAATGTGAAATCATCATCCTGAACAATACTGTTTGGGGATTAAAAAAAAAAAATCCAACAGCAGAGGTATGGCTCCGGAGGGGTAAGGGTGGTTTTCTCTGCATGCCCATAAGCTCAATATGAAGTATGAGAGATTTTCCCAAAGTGGTGCTTTGAAAATGTGTGCAGCCACAAAAGCACTGGGAGAAGCTGTACTCATTTGAGTGTCTGCATCTAAAGTGATTTTTCAAAGATCAGCCTCACTCTGTACAGTCACGGTGCTCGTCATGTCTAGGCAAGGAATGAGAGAGTGTTTCTGAGGCTGCTAGAACCTCTGACCCGTGCGTGTTTCCCTAGAGAACACACCACATTCCAGGGGAGTCTCAGGAAGACCCAGCAGGGGCTGCCAAGCTGGGCACCTGGTGCTCTGGCTGGACTTCTTTATCTAACCTGCTTCTACTTCTTCAGGCCCTTGTCATTTATCTGCTGGGGGAGCAACACTGCACTTTCGGAGGGCTCTGTTATTTGGCTCACGTTCACAGCTGGACAGCTGCTGAAGCCAGCTATGTCCAAACCCTGCAGGTGGCTTCCTGCTTTGTGGGATTTGTGACACCGAGGATGCCGTCTCCAGTCCCTTTCAGGGGAAACAGAGCCTGTCTGCCCTTCAAGAGGGACCTGCCTTAAATTATAAATTCTTCTCTTAGAGACAGCCCACGCAATATCCTGATCCAGCTTTAGATAATGAATGAGGCTAGAGCTTTCCCTTGACAGCTGACGTTGATAAATGGGAAAGGAGATCATTAGGGCTGTGACAGAGTAGCTAAAAGGAGTGAAGAAGAAAGAGACTGGGCAGCTGAGGATGGGCCTCAGGGTGACATCACAGCTTTGTTTAAAGGAAGTCCTGCAAATCCGTATTGACAAAGGCAGAAGCGGGGCAGCCTTATCATGGGGGACCCAGAATAACCCTTTCACTGGTGAAAGATCCTGTGGTTGAACAAGAACTCAGGGAGGCACGCTAGTTGTCTTCAGTCTGCACAGTTGTGGCATGGAAGGGGGTATCCTCGCCCTTAACTGTCTGCTCCGCATAAAACATCTTCTCTACTCCAAGGCATCTGCCCTCTATTTTACGGGTTCACCTTTCCTGTTCTCAGCTTAGGGGCTGTGGGTGAAGGTTCCACTTCCAGCTTGGGAATGAAGCATGTGACCCAGGCCTGAAACAATCAACCCATCATGATTCCCTGGCCACAGTGATTGGTTCAGGGCTGGGCAGTGCCAGCTGACATTCAATGACACTTTGGCTGGGAGTGTCGGGATCAAGGTAGAGGTCTCTCCCACCAGATTTGACTCTGAGGGCATGCAAAGCTGGAATTCTTGCAGCCATCTTGCAACTGCCAGGAATCTGAGACTGAAGGCAGAGCAGAAAGGTGGAAATAACCTTGATGATGATGTTGCTTGGACCCTGAGTCCAGCTGTGCCTGAAGCCTGATCTTACCTTGGACTTTTCAATTCCTTTTTCTTAAATAAGTTTGGGTTGAGCCATCTGCTGCTCGCCACCACAGAAATTTCAACTGTATCAGTTCTGTGCAGCTGGTGGGCAGGGGTGGAAGGAGGTGGGGCAGGACTAACACATGGATAAAAGTTGCAGGATGGTGTGTTGAAATTCCCTGTAACGAAGAGCTTTCAACAGGAGTTTCAAAGTCACTTCTTAATGACTACAGTAATGAAGTCACATGCCCTGTCAAACTCCCTCTCTAGGTATCTCTAATACAAGCAAGAAATGATAAACTTAATGTGGCACAAAGACTCTAATTCGATGATCTTAATAACAGACCCTGGTGGGCAGGACATCCACAGCTAGGTCCCCAGCACAAACTTAACCTTGGTTTGCCCCTCTGCTCTGAGAGTGAGTTCAATCCACTATGCTCTCTAAACCCCTTCCATCTTCCACCTCCTGCACCTATGCTCTGCCCTTTCCCAGACTTTCCTCCATTTCTGCCTTCTTACTTTGCCTTACAAGAGCTCATTCTCCTCTACAAGGCCACCCCAGACCAAACGAATGACTCCAGCTTCTGACCTCTGAGAGATCCAGTTTTCCAAAACACTTCTTTGGACTTATCAATACTGCAGTCCATCGTTCCGTGATGTTTCTTCATGATTCTTCGGTTTCCCATCTTCTTGAGGGCACATACGGACGATGAATCCTAGCACCCAGGGCACAGCTTTGCGCAGGCTGTGCTCAGTTGCTGCTCATGGTAAGTGAGATTTTAATGTCAAGGGCTCTTGTTAGTACCCCCTTCTGAAATATGGACACCTTACAGTCTCCAACGTAGGGATTAGAGTCCACCAGGTGGACTATGGGCTCTCCTACACCCCTTTCTCAACCCATGGGAGGACAGTTGCGTCCAGGGTAGTTGCAGGGCCCAGGACACAGAGGAGACAGACCCACACCTCCTCCCTCCAAGCCTTCCCATTCCACCCACATCTGACACCCCACTGCCTGATGAGATATAGTCATTCATTCATTCACCAAATACTCACCAGGCACAGGGTGCCAGGCAGCAGGTATACAGTGATGAGCAAACCAGAGCACTTGCTGTCTGTGGTGCTTCCAGCATGGAGTCCCTTCCACACAGAGCCAGGATAGTTCCTCCTCTGTCTGCCTCTCTTCCTAGACCCTGAGCTGTCTTGGCTCAGGAATCTTGGACTGCCACATGTCCCTTTGGAAATAGGGTCTGTCTGCCCTTTGGTGAGACAAGCCCTCCTCCTAAGATCTTCTTTCTACCTACCCCGCTTTTGTCCAAGACTGAGCTATGGCTCCTCATTCCCAGAAACTACCTTTTAATTTCCCCTGCTCACAAAACCCAGGAGAGATCTGGGCTCCCCAGGGACAACCTAATGGTCACGGTTAATGGGAATTTTGCACCTTGAATGTCCATTTGGTTTAAATTAGTAAAGCTGAGAAGTTCAAATTCTGAGAAATATAGACAATCCTGACAGGTGATGGGAAAGCAAAGCCAAGCCCTGGCTGGGCTCTGGCTTGAGGTCATGACCCCGAGGTCACCGGTGAGGGTCCAGCCTTGGGCTCTGAACCCCGAGGAGGATGAGGCTCCTGGCTCTAAGGCCCTACCCGCAGCCTGGCCGCCTCAGGCGCTGATGACTGAACGCTGTGTCAGGCACGAAGGACCTGAGCCCCTCCGCGAGCAGGGACCGTGCCAGTCTCTTTTTTCACATTTCACACCGCAGCAGTCCAAAGCTGCGGGGGCTGGGAGGGATCCCGTCCCCAGGGGCCACCTGGCGCTGGTGGCATGGCGGGGAGCCAATCTCGCCTTTGCCCTCAGTCTGTGCCAGGACTCTGGAGCCTGACTGACACTTCCCGAGGGCAAAGCGAAGCCTGCGAGTGATCTCGGGGGAACGTCCTAAAAAAAAAACGACTTTCAGGTTGGAAAGGTGGAGGGAGGACAGAAAACGGGAGGGGGGGACGCTGCTCGGCAAGAACAGAGGGTGTGAGGGCGGCCTGGAGTCTAAGAGAATCCCCGAAGCGCTCCTCCACTACAAGCCCACGTGCGTGTGGCAGCAAGCGAGAGACCGGAGGCCGAGCGAGGAGACGCGGAGGGGCCGCGGGCAGAGCCCCAGCGAGCGCGCTGCCCCGGCGCCGAGCCCGGGGGCCGCCCACTGGCGGGGGGCGGGGAGCGGGGAGCGCGCAGGGAGGCGCGGCGGCGGCGGGGCTTCCCCGGGCTTCCCCTCCCCGCGCCGCGGGCGCCCGGCGCGGGTCCAGGGCGCGGGGGCGGCGCCGGCGCGAGGGAGCCGGGAGTCCCGACGCGCCCCCGGCTGGGCGCCGGGACGCGGGGCCGGGAGCGTGGGGAGCGGCCGGCGCGGCGTCCGGGAGCCCCGGGGCCGGAGGCGGGAGGTTTGGGCTGAGCCCTCCCCGCCGCCAGCCCGCCCCAGCCCGGCGCCCGCCTCCCGCCCCCGCCCGCGGCAGGAGCGCGCCTCCCTCGCCGCCCCGGGTCTGGCGAGCCGGCGCCAGCGGAGCTGCGGGAGCCGCGGAGAGCACCAGGCGCCGCCGCCGCTGGAGCTGCTCCGGCCGCACCATGCGGGAGCTGGCCATCGAGATCGGGGTCCGAGCCCTGCTCTTCGGGGTCTTCGTGTAAGTAGTGGCGCGCCGCGCGCGGGGACGCATGGACGCGGGGACCCACGGACCGATCGTCTCTGCGCCCCAACTTTGTTTGCGCCACCGCGTCCCGCTGGGGCCTGGATTCGAGGTCTCCTACCTGCCCAGTGCCCGGGATGTGTCCTGCGGGACCAAGAGAGACCCCCCTCGATCCCCTTCCGGGACCCTGGGCACGACGGGACCTGCGCGCGCCGGGCTGAGACCTGCTCCCGCCACCCCCATCGTGCCGGGGAGCGGGTCCGGCAGTCGCTCGGGTCCCCTCGCCTGCGGCTTTCGTCCGCTCCGCACTACCTGCCCGGGGATTCAAGGCTGCTCCCTGGACGCGGACGCGCACCCTGGGGAAGTTTCTCTTTGTGTGATCTTCGAGCCCGCTGTTTGCAATCTTTGCCTCTGGTCCCATCTCCCATTGCCCACCCCTGCCTAGGCCAGGGCCAGGCTCGGTCTCCTGCCGTGTCTCTGGCTTTGGCGCCGGGGGTCCTGGTGAGCGTTTTCCCAGGAGGCATTTGCGGTACTTCTCCAGCTGGAAAACTGTTGCTGCGGAGGCTCTGGAAGTCGGGGTGGGGTGGGGGGCGCAGCCTGGGATGTGGGCTCCATACGCCCTGGAGCTCTACGCGGAATCCATGTCCGCTTAGGGTGCAGGCGGAGACTCTATGGGGGCAGCACCGAAATGCCCCGGGCTCTGAGCGGCTGGTACCTGGAAATAGCGATCTTGGAAAGAGGAGGGGGCCCTGGCGCAGCTTCTTTCAAAGATGTCTGAGCCCCATGGCGCCCCGGGGACCCGCTGCCCACCTGCCTCCCACGGCCCCAAGCAGCAGGGAGCTGTGGCGTCTCTGTCATTCAGATCCAAGCCCAGAACACCAGCTTAGACCCACTCCACAGCCCCCTGTGATCTGTCACCTAGGCGCCCACACCTCCACTTTTCCCTCCGTTAGCCGGTCAGGTTTTCTCTCCCCCTCTGCCCATGGCTGTTTTCAGACACATGTAAAATATTAAAGTTGCATGAACTTGCTGGATTCGTCGGGTTTTTTTTGTCTTTTTGAAAAGCCCACTGAGCCGTTCCAAAGAGGAGGCCCCTCTCTGGATTTCTGCCCCAAATCCGGAGTCATTGATGGCAGGTGGGAGGCTGTGAGATGACTTCTGTTCCGTGCAGCCAGGATGCACACATGGAAAGAAATGCCCTTTCTTGCATGTTTTCTTTACTAGGGATTAAATTCATCCAGAGTATTTATTCACGCCATCAGAAAGGGCCGTCATCTCCCCCAGATGCAGGCAAGCCCCCTCTCCCAGCTTTGACTAAACACTAGTGTTATTCAGTGGGAAGAAGGAACGAGAACAACTTGAGTTGGGTCTTGATGCATTTGGGAAAACAGAAAACACTTTCCCCGCTGCTCACGCTATTTCTCTGCGTTTAGAATATAGGTTAAAACTAGTGATTGCCGTGTGATCAGATGGGGTCTGTTTTCAGTTGGCAGATAGGCCAAGCCCCATTAATTATTATGTGATAGAAATGATAAAATAGTGTTCAGTGTGTCGTAGAATTTGACGTTTGTGGGGTGAGCGTTTGTGTGAGTAATGCTGAAATAGAGTGGGGGAGGCTCTTAGGCTGCCTGGTTTGATTGCTGCTGGGAATTGTCAGATAAAAAAAGGGTCCAAAAGTATGTAAATATTTATACTGTTTTCCGATTTCGCTTCAACTATCCCTGCAAACATTTACAAGATGTTTACAAATATATAATGGTCTGTGCAGTGGATTTGAAAATCTGACAATTACCGTTCTCTGTGCTTCTTGCTTCCTCTAAGGATGTTGTATAAAAACCAGACGGGCAGTTTATATTCTTTTCTCCAAACTTCCCCTTTGTGTTAATTACTTAATTGGGGATCTGCTGTCACCCAAAGAGAAATGCTTGGGCATTGATGGCATTTTTGGATGATTTCCTGCTTTCATATCAAATTGGGAATATTAACAGTATGTCCAACTTGTGGCTCTTTTACCGGCAAAGACCAGCCTTGGTATCAGTGCGAGACTCCCTGCGTGGGAATTTTGGATGCCCAGAGGCAGATAACGACTTCTCCAAGGACCGCTGGGAGCGCGGAGATACAGATGACCGTTTGTTTTCTCAGATAAGCTTCTGGCGAGATGACAGAGGCTGACTTTTCCGGGAAATTTTTGCCAGCACTGATGTGATGGCAAGATTCAGTGGCTTGTACCCACCTCTGCTCATGAAACTGGTGGTTTCAGCAGCAGGGCATCCCCTGGGTAGGTGTAGAAAGTCCCTCTGGACAAGCTGAATCCAGTTTCTTTGCTGCTGGGTCCAACATAACTGACATAATTCATCATGAGGTTCTGCTTGGTATTTCTACCCTATTTCTCAGGATAAGAGAATAGTCTTTTTGGGGGGAGTTACTTTACTTCTTTGCAAACTTGTGCCTCTGGGTGAGCATCAGCTGTGGATGCACCTGTTCTCTGACCACATTTGCTCTGCATGAAGGCAGGAATCCCACCACCCGATGCCCATATGCTCCCTTAGGTTCAAAGTTAGGGCTAACGAAATGCATTTTGGACCCATAGGTAGTAGGGATGTAAGCTTTCCTTTGCTGTCTTAAGGAACCAGTTCTCTATTTGTAGACCAGATTTGGTGCTGAGGTTTTCTGATTCAGGATTCCGAGAGGATGCTTTCCCAGCAACCCCCATAGGTCACCCAAGAGGTGCTCTATACCTTTTGGACAATTCTACCTAAGAAGCTCAAATCACTGGGAGGAAAGCTAGTAATGAGTAATGCAAATCAGGGCTGGCACATAAAGTTTAACCTGACAGGAAATAAATTGGTTAGAGGAACCCAGTGTTTAGGAAGAATCAAAGTACCGTGTGTAGCTGTGAGGCTGCATTTAGCGCTGTGAAGCCTGTGGGCCCAGAGGCCCCTTTGCTCTTCCTTCTGGACCGTAGGCAGAGCAGGGAGAGGAGCGCCAGTGTGCTTCCTCCATCCTGCTGCCACCCAAGGCTCCGGCAGAGAGTCTGTGGGCCTTTCTGCAAATGCCAAGCCAGCGCTGGACCTTGTTGAGCAAGCGCATGGAAAGAAGGTGGCCTGTCACAGCCCCACAGATGGCTGGTATATTACTACTACGTTACTTCCACTTTCACTATTATCCCAATACGATAGCTACCAGGTATTGAGAGCTTACTTGCTATGTGCCAGGCACTAATGAAGACGGTCACATATACCATTTAACCCTTATACGCACCCGATGGAGGGGGGATATTGATATTTCTGCTCATGGATGAAGAAACTGAAGCATGGACAGATTAAGGAAATGCCCAAGTCACCAGGCTAATGAGGGCAGATCTCAGATCTAAATCTCGATGCTCTGACTGTCATCTGGACTCTCGTTCACCTTGCTGTACTCCTTTAGAAAAAAATAGCAGCCAGCGTTGGTCAGCCGAGGGCTTACTGTATGCCAAAGGTATTCTGTGGGATTTCTCCTTTAGTCCTTGTCTCACTTGAGGCGGCACTCTTCATTCTCTTCACAAATAAAGAAACCAAGGTGTGAAAAGGTCAAGTAACTTGCCTGAAGGTGCTCAGCTAGCAGGAGGTGTCACCTGGATTCAAACAGGCAATCCACCCCCTGTCCCAAAGCCACCGGCCACTGAGATGGAATGTGTCCTGCCAGGTTTCCAGACTAGAATGAAAGTGACCACATCCTAGAAGCGATCCCCTTATTTGACCTCCCCAGAAGCAAAAGCACGGCCTGGAGTAATGTGTGGGAAGAGATGTCACTCTAGTTCTCAAGTCAGACTCTTAGGATGACACCTCAACAGTGGAGGTGGCAGTTGTGGCTCACGTTCCCTAAGAGATGCGATTAGGGCATGCTCCAGACTTTGAGGGGTCTTTCTTAGGTCTTTGGAGCCCAGAGGGCAAGATGTGGTGAGTAAATTGCTGGTAGGAGCATAAGTGATAGTATTAAAGAACGAGTGGCATGCTCCTTTCTCTCTCAGCTGTTGGCCATTGCCCTCCACAATATCTGTTAAATTGGAAAACCCTTTATTTACAGCATTGCGGAAATGACCCTGGAAATATGATGAGGATCTGAAATGCTGGCTCGGGGAAGGTGATCTGCCTATTTCACTTGTGAGGCTGGGGTCCTCAGCTCCTCCCTCCATCCATCCGTCCCTCCCTCCCTCCTTCTCTCTCTCTCCCTGCCTGTGGCTCCTGGAGGCTCCATGCCTGGGATGTCCCTCCAGGGGCTGTGGGTCTGCTCAGCATGCCGGGCTGCTCAGGTAACAGATTTGCCTCACTGTAGATCAGTCCAGCATCCTTGGTTGAGCTTCCTATGCAGGCGGCCTGTGCCAGGTGCTGGGGATGGTTGGAGAAGGAAAACTGGGGGCCTCCACGGAGCTCACAGTCTGGCAGAGCAAGCACACAGTGCACCATTATTTGCTGTCTTACCCCATGCCATCACTGGTTTTGAAAGTTTTGCCTCCAAACGTTTCTCTTTCATCATTCATCCAGTTGACAGATGCTTGTTTGCGGCACCTTCTAGGTGCCTGCGCTTGTAGGAGTTCTTTCCCTTCATTAGTGAACTTCAGTTGGTGCAATTCCAAACAGACTCAGGGAGCCTTGCTGCTTTAGCTGGTTCAGGTGACTTGCTTGAGGGCGCTGGCTGTCAGGTCGATGTTTGGAATAGTGACAGTAACTAACATCTTTCATTATTGCCCCTAGGATTCCAGTCTAGGACTCCAGGTGGGGGACAGTAGTTGGAGCATAGTGCTCCATTTTACTGAGAAGGAGGGGTTAATTAGTCCTGGGAGGGATGAGAAGGAGGAGACAGGTGCCAGGGAAGCCTGCCCAGAGCTGACAGCTCACCTGAGTCTTGAGCATCCAATGGCAGGTATAGAGGGCCTGGCCCGAGGACATTCCTGCAGATGGAGTGTCCTAGAGCAAAATCCTGGAGGCCCGGAGGCACATTTTGGGTGGGAATCA